TAAAACCCAACTCTCATGCCATTAGAAAGAGGATCATGAAAAACCTATAAAAAGATGGTTCATGAAATTTTAGTTCACTCATAAAGCTAAAGTCCGCTTGCTCTAGCAAAAAATGCCCACTGTGCTCTATCACTTATATATCTATATATATATATATCTGTGAAAAAAAGATTTGCAGATTTCTATGCCAGCTTTAAGAGAACCGAACTGGTTTTTCAAAGATCTCCTTCGCTCCCATTGGAAAATTTTTACACACGAGCTAGTTTTCCAAAGATTCCTAGAAAACCTGTGCAGAAAGCTCTTCTGGAAAAATTTTGGTTATGAAAACATGTCCCCGAATCTTCTCTTTCGAATGGTGAATATTGGAGCTCTTTAGCTTTTTCCTATCGAAAGTTATTAAAAAAACAGTCATATACCATTCTTTTTTTGGATGGACAATAGATGTATGCGTTCTGTTTTCTATCTGGCATATATACAAACATATAAAAACCTATGAAGCTTCGATAACTTCAAGAAATTAAATGTTTCCGTCTATTACGAAACGGCACAGAAGTGTTCTATTTATAAGCTATTTTTCTCACTACATATGACTGTTTTTTTGATTAATTATGAAAATTAATTGAAAAAGATGGACTCAGACTGATCCCTTTTGAAAAAACGAATTTAATTTCCATCTGCTGTGACATTTCAAGGCCTATAAATCAAAAATTTCACAAGATACGAATTTTGACGATTTTGCTAGGATTTTGCAAACATTTATCATAGAAAATCCAAAAAAATGTTCTTGCCTTTTAAAGGCTCAAAGGCCTCCGGGACGTAAATCTGGATGAAATATGTCTTTACTGAGCCAACTGAGGCATTTATTTACAAGGTACGACAGGCTGAAAACTTTAGCGTAGGCACAGCTCGATGTGAGCTACAATCTCTGATAGTTAAAATCGAAAAGGTGTTGCCCTACACTCTAAAAAAAATGCGACTTCTAGGAAGACACGGAAGTCGGTTCCCATTTAGTCGCATAATTGCGCCTATTTTGGAGACACATCATACGACTACCTCTGGTAGTCACATCAATCCGTCTACTTCTAAGTAGCATGGAAGATACTGAAGTCGGTTCCCATTTAGCCGTATTTTAGCGATTCTGTTGAAGTCGCTTTGATGTGTCTTCTGGAAAAGACACATTAAAAAAATGTTTCGTTCTTGTCAGGAATTGAACTCGATCTGTTCGCTTACCAGCGAATGTGTTCATCACTGAACCATACTGGCACATTAATTATTAGCGTTATTGCCTCTTACGTTGACGTTTCATGTGAGACATTAACCTAGTAGAGTCACATGGAAGGCGGGAAGATGTGACTACTAAGCGTCTTTCTAGTTCACATGTCTTCCATGCGACTTCTGTATGTCTACCGGTAGACACATTGAAGACATATAGAATTTTGAAGACGCAATGTAGTCATACAAAAGACACTTTTTCTCGGTAGACATAGTCGCATCTTTTTTACAGTGTAAAATCCCCGAGTTTTTAAGAATGTCTCTCGAACTCTTAAAAGCTTTGCATATCCTACCATACTATTTTGCAATTTTGACGCTGTCAGCAGAAACAGTGGTAGAAACTGTATTTGTGATAAAATTTCGAGAGTCATCAAACGATATTTTGAAAAGATATGCATCTTGGACTTTCAAGACATTCATGGGGTTATGGTGCCTTTGAATTCAAGAGCTACTTTTGTGATCTTAGCTCACTCAAAATCAAACTCAAATACTGCATCTTGTAGTCCTTGATGAGGTCTACAAAACTAAGTATCAAGATTGATAAAACAAGCATCCTGTAGACACAGAGGGTTGAACTATAGTGTCGACTATAGGATTCACCTCCGCAACCATGCACATGTCCAAAAATCTAACCCTCTGAAAAGTTTTAATGTACTCTGTCTGACTCAGCTGTTTACGCTGAACACGAATCTGATGCCGGTTTTTGATTTTGATCACAATGAGATGACTTTAAGCGAAAGTATAAAGGGTCACTTGGACCGAAGTGGGACTCACTCTAACTTGACCCGTAGTTTTATTCCTCGAAATTTATGTCAGGAAGGTGTGTCTTGACAAGATTAAAAGGATCATCCTAGTATCCCATACTGTACTTAGGAAAACGTCAAAATATCGCATTTTTAGACAAGTGTTTTTTTTTTGGACGGTAACTGGCCTGTAGCGTCTCTACACAGAGTGTGTACATCGATCAAATAGGTTTGTTTTGTACCCTAGGAAGGGCTCTATCTCTTTAGATGTCAAACGATCAAACCGGTCGAGAGATAATGTCAAAATACTGAACGTACCCATTTTGAGGAGTAAAATGGATCCTCATATGTTGTTTCAGCCTGTGTTTAAAACAAACACAACCAAATGGTCTAATATTTGTGATCTGAGCATGATTAGGCCCGGAATTTTGCTTGAGATATTTAAATCTTTTTTATATGTGTTTTTACTGCACTTTACCTTTTTATGTCTTTTTTTTTATTACACACACAAAATAAAACATTTGCTACTAATCCGCTTATCAATATTTATCTACGTATGTCTCAATTATATTGTAGCAATAGATCATCAGCGCGACTTATAAAACGACTTATACAATGCTCCTCTGACAAGGTGTATTGTATACAGCAAGCACACGCCTTACACTCTTTTGTCTCCAGTACATATGGCCCTTTTTGAATCTCCATACGGACGTATGTTCATTGCACTATGTGTGATCGGACTATTTGGAGTGATCACATTTGCTCTTGCTGCTGCCACTCTTGGTACTCTTAACAAGCGATTCGATTCTATCATTTTAACAGTAACTACGAGGAAACCAAGGCTCAATTCGGTTTTGGCTGAGACGATTCGTATCGACGACCTCATGGATCACTTAAAGCAACTGCAGCGTATCGCCGACGAAACAGGCGGCACTCGGGCTATAAACACACGAGGGTTCAACGAAACCGTCAACTACATTTATAACTATCTAACAACCCACGTGACTATCTTGAACGTCACAAGAGAGACATTTCAGGTGCGAAATTTTGCTCTTGCGACAAATCCAGTCTTGCTTTCGTCGATCAATGCCACGATAAAAAATTTTACCTATTCGTCAATTCTCGCAAGATCCGAATTCACCTATGTCAATTACTCAACCTCAGCTAACTTTTCGGACTATGTTCGTATCGTCAATATTCCAAATTTTGGCTGTGAGGCAAATGAGTGGAAGAATGTATCAGACCTCGTTGCACTGGTTAAGGGAGGAGGTAAATGCACATACGCCGAGAAGGGTATTCTTGCTGCAAACAGCAGCGTCAGAGCCTTACTTTTCTACAATGATGGAGAAACAAGTGGCAACCTTGCTCCGGTTATTGTACGTCTTCGTCAAACGAATCAATTGCCTGCACTTTTTCTTTCGTACGCTGCTGGACAAGCGCTGGCGAATGCAGCTTCTTCAATGGAGGTCACTGTCAGACTCCAGATTCAATTGCAAAACTTGAGCACCTTTCCAGTTGATAATATTTGTGCCGATACTCCAAACGGAGATCCAACACAGACAATTGTTGTAGGAAGTCACAGCGACAGTGTTCCGGCTGGACCCGGCATTAATGACAATGGCAAGTATTCCCTGTTCGACTATTGAGAGGAGCCATGCTTCTTATCTTGATTTCATTGGCGCTTGATCGAAAAACTGAGTCGGGAAGAGCATGTCTGACTATCTACCAACTCTTATTTAGGTAGTGGGACTGCAGCCTATCTTGTTTTGGCCACCAACCTGGCTCGCCTGTATCAAACGACGAGCTATACCAAGTACAGATATCGCGTTCGTTTCTGCTGGTGGGCTGCAGAAGAGATTGGTTTGGCCGGATCGAGTTATCATGTTCAGAATGCTCATAATGCTACTGTTGTGGGCGGACGCCTCAAAGACTATCTGATCAATCTTAACTTTGATATGGCGGGCTCGCCTAATTACATTTTTGGAATCTATGATGCTAAGACAGCAAAGAATGACACACCACCGAAGGTGCTTCCTGGCAGCAAAAAAGTCACAGAGCTGTACCGCGATTGGTTCATTGGACAAAACTTACCGTGGGACTTCAGAGATTTCAACGGTCGTAGTGACTATGGTCCATTTCTAGCTGCAGGCATTGCTGCTGGCGGTGTTGCAACAGGTTCAGATGCCGTAAAAACGGCAGAACAACGTGACAAGTATCTTCAGTCTTTGGGAGAAAATAATGCCGGTTACGCGGGAGCAATTCTTGATCCGTGTTACCACTTACCATGTGATACTTTGTCGAACATCCATCAGTTTGGTTATGAAAAGCTGGTTCAGGCGGCCGCTTATGGATTGGAGTACCTCGGTCAGCACGACAACTTGCTGGAATGGCTCTATCCAGATGGACGCCCATGAGTACGTCTGTCAGACAATTATAACCCATTATGGCACGAATATTTCACGAAATATTTTTTCATCAGTAAGGAGACCAACTAGTGTACCCACTCTTCTATGCTTTTTCCTTTCTCGGATCAGTTCTATTGTCCATCCAAAAAAAGAATGGTACATGACTGTTTTTTGAATAACTTTCGATAGGAAAAAGCTAAAGAGCTTTAATTTTCACCATTC